GCATCTAAAGCTGAGGAAAATTACAACCAGTTCCTGAAAGCCAAAATATGACGTTAATTATTGACCATCTGAATTTAGAACATCCCCCAAACAGATCTGACACATTGAATACCAATGACAGACCAGATGAATTGTGTGACATCAAGAACATCTTTCATGAAAAAAACAAAGTCCTTACAAATGCAGGAAAGAAAGAAAAGACCAACTGGATGCCTGAAAAGACTCTGAAGCTTGCTCTTGAAGAGAGAAATGCTAAAGCAAATGGAAGAAATAATAAAAAGAGCCGAACAGACAATTTCAAAGGGCAATTCAAGAAGACAAAGTGAAGCATTATAATGAAATGTGCAAAGACATGGAGTTCAAAAGCCGACAAGAAGAGCATGTTAAGTAGCTAGCTCAGTGCCTGCAAAGACCCCCATAGAGGAGGTTGGAAAGAAACCAGGTAACAATTAGACACCTATGAAGACCCCAAACTGAACATGCTCATACTCAAGCCCCCAAGCCAGGTGGGAGGTACACCTGGGCATCCAAATCAGGCACAGGTTCATGACCTCTCCCAGGTGGGCTTAACTCAGCCAATGGGTTCAACCAATACCATCAACCATGCCTCTCCAGCCAGAGGTTTGAGATATCCTGGCTGTGGGAAGGCCGCTCTCTCTTACCCTGCTCCTGGTCAGAGGCAGGTGGAGGGAGAGGTCTACCGCCCTCTTGCCAGTGCACACGCACCCACTCCAGGCCTACTGGGAGGGGAAGGGGGAACCAGCCTCTGGGCCCACATGCTCTTAGCCTCTAAGGTACTTGGGCTTCTGGCCTCCCAGGATTACCGCCCCCCAGTTCCACACCCGTGGGTGGCTCTTTTCTGCGTGGTTGTTTGTGCCCAGCTGTGAACCCCTTTGAGACTGTAAAACCTTGTCCTTCATAAAAACCCACTTGGATTACAATACGGGCTTCGGTGTGGATTCTTTCAGTGTGCAAAGTAAAGAAACAAGGTTTTACCCACTCAAGAAGGGCTACTGCATGACTTAAAAGTCAGGAAAGCTGTGTGGTTGTATCCTCTTACCATACTTACACACTGTGTCAATTGAGCAAATAGTAGAGAAGCTGAATGGTTCAAATGATGAATTAGTATGAGGGCTGGAGACAAACTTATTAGCAATCTCTGACATGCAGACGGCACCCCTTACTTGCTTCAAGCTAAGAGGACTTGAAGCACTGGGTGGTGAAGACCGAAGACGGCAGCCTTCAGGATGCATTACGACTCCACAGAAAGAAAGCAAACTCCTTCAAGTTGGACCAATAAACAAAGGAATGATCGAAGTTACCAGGGATTTCACTTTAATTGGGCCGCAACGAATCATGGAAACGGCAGGCAGGAAATCAAATGAGGTTTTGCGTTGGGCCAACCTGCTGCACAGACCTCTTTAAAGCAATAACGAGCAAAGGTGGCATTTTGAGAGCGAAGGTGCTCCAGAACCAAGCTATGCTATTTTTGTTTTATTTCATTTGCAGGTGAAAGGTAGACAGGGAATACAAAACTTGATACATGTGAACTGTGATGTTAGCAAAGAATACTGAAAGTGCCATGGACTATCAAAAGTACAAATTAATGTGTCTCCGAGCACGTCCAGCAGCCAGAACGCTCCTGAGAAGTGAGGCTATCAAGACTTCATCTGATGTACGGCATGCTCCAGGTGAGACCAGTCCTGGGAAAGGATATCATGCTTGGTAAAGCAGATGGTCAGCA